AAAAAAAAGATATTTTGAAGAATGCTGGTAACCAAACAGTTTCTGGTAGCCATTGACTTTTATAGTATTTTTTTTCTCCCATACTATGGAAGTCAACGGGGACCAACAACTGTTTGGTTCTTCTAAATATCCCATTTTTTGTTTGACAAAAGAAAGAAACTCATACAGGTATGAGACAACTTGAGGGTGAGTAAACGATGACAGAATTTTGTCTACACTGAATGCGACAAAGCTTTAGGGGAATTCAGAAATCACAGAACAAACTGCATAAATAACAAACATACAAAGGTGTTATAGAGCAGCATTCTATTTTTAATCATTTTGGATGCACATTATGGCATTATTGCAGACCCACCTTGGAAATGTTCCTGTTAAACTGTTATACTCCGAAAACCCATCTCGACAATTCCAGGAATCAATTAAAAAGCTTTACACCAGGTGATCCTCACAAGTCATAATGAAGGCAGATCTGCTGTATTAAAACGCAGTATTGAGTCATTTGTCTGTGAACCAAATGAACTGATGTTTTGCTTTAACCTCAGAGACTCATCAGTGGTAATTGCAACACCTGTGTATGGTAAACACTTTCTTCACTCCGTATTGTACAAGTATTTAGATCAAAGTGAAAATGACTCCTTTCATTTCCCAAACTAACTCCACCAACATGACATGCATGTAGAACATTAACTATATCTGCATTCCATTAGAAATCAATCTGTGTTTTAGTGCATCTACAGAGGGATAATCTGAAAATTTGTGGTTTGTACTTTGGGTGCACCAGCATTTCATAACACATTTATCTGTTATCGGTTGATTACACAAGTATATTGTTTATGCGTTTATCATAGACCTATTATTCATAAGAATCCAAAACAGCATTGTTCATTAGGATCCTTTTTGCAACAACTTGTTTGGTTTCAGTCACTTAATAATCTTGATGTTTTTAACTTCCGCAAGATGCAACTTTTAAGTATAGTAATTATGCATAAACAGAATAATGGACAGCACTCTGCACTAACATTGTGATTATGTCTCGAACGTTGTTTTCACTGTTTTACATATCATTTGATTAAATAGTTTGTATTAAGATTTAGTTTATTTAGTTTTAGTTATTTTAATATGTTAACTTTAAATAAAAATGAGGTGTTGCCTTGGCACATAAAATGCTAACATAAAACTTGATATATTTTAAGTAAGTAAATGTTTATATTAGTAATATATCGGTAATAACCCTGCTGTGTCTGTTCTGTGGCTTTTAGATCTTTCATGCTTGATTATAGTGTCACTGTTGTTCGTGTCTAATGTCTTTGTGACAGATATCTGGAATCACTTTCACGATGTTCTGCTGCTGAAGTATTCACAAAAGCTGAATGGAGTCAATGTTGTGAGCGGACCAATATTTGACAACGACTTTGATGGGAACTATGACGTTATGAACAAGGGAACCCCGTAAGTTTGCAAAATGAACCAGTGTGTGAAAGATCCCCTTTTTTTATATCACAGACCAGTTTCGTTTTGAAAATATTCCAGTCCATATATAATATCCGGTCTTCAGTGTAACATGCTCCTTCAGAAATCATTGTAATATGCTGATTTGCTGCTCAAGAAATATTTATTACTATTATCACAGTAGAAGACACTTGCTTAATATTTTTGCGTGATCCTTCGACGAATAGAAAGTTCAAAAGAATATTTATCCTGAAAAAAATTTTTTTTGTAACATTACAAAGGTCTGTCACTTTTGATCAATTTAATGCGTCCTTGCTGAATAAAAGTATTAAAGGGATACTCCACCCCAAAATGAAAATTTTGTCATTAATCACTTACCCCCATGTCGTTCCAAACCCATAGAAGCTTCATTCGTCTTCGGAACACAATTTAAGATATTTTGGATGAAAACCGGGAGGCTTGTGACTGTCCCATTGACTGCCAAGTAACTTACTGTCCCATTGACTGCCAAGTAAATTACACTGTCAAGGTCCAGAAAAGTATGAAAGACATCGTCAGAATAGTCCATCTGCCATCAGTGGTTCAACCGTAACGTTATGAAGCGACGAGAATACTTTTTGTAAGCGAAGAAAACAAAAATAACGACTTTATTCAACAATTCGTCTCCTCTATGTCTGTCCGCATCACCATAGCGCCATTTTGGAGAATATTCACTGAACGCAAGCAGCATACGACAGACATAGAGGAGACGAATTGTTGAATAAAGTCGTTATTTTTGTTTTCTTCGCGTACAAAAAGTATTCTCGTCACTTCATAACGTTACGGTTGAACCACTGATGGCAGATTGACTATTCTGACGATGTCTTTCATACTTTTCTGGACCTTGACAGTGTAATTTACAGTTAATGGGACAGTCACAAGCCTCCCGGTTTTCATCCAAAATATCTTAAATTGTGTTCCGAAGACGAACGAAGCTTTTACGGGTTTGGAACGACATGGGGGTAAGTGATTAATGGCAAAATTTTCATTTTTGGGTGGAGTATCCCTTTAATTTCTTAAAAACCACTTTACTATTAATCCATTTCAGATTTAATTTTCCTTAAATTCCACTTTAAAATCAAAATAAACTGTGGTTGGTCACTTTACATGTTGGTCAGATGGTGTTTTCCTGTCTAAGATGACGAGAACAAGATGCAAAGTGGACCAGACTTCATGCATAAGTCTAACATCTGACTACAGTATATGAGAGAAAAAAAAATGTTTTATTAGGCCAAATGCATCATTTACGACTAGACCTATTGGTAGTTCACATACTGCCCACTAGTGGCCAAATAATGCCAAAAATGTATTTAACAATGCATTAGACTGAATTCTTCCCCTCATATAGATGATTTCTCTTCTGCTTTCAGGAACGGGGCTCCCATCCCGACACATTTCTTTGTGATTCTTACAAGCTGTAAGAACTCGTCCCTTCCCATCCGACAGTGTGACGGTCCTCTAGATGCTGTGTCTTTCGTTCTTCCTCATCGAGCTGATCGTCTGGAAACATGTCATGTATGTGATCAGCCATTCATGATCTGAACCACAGCAACCATAAGATTGTACAAAGTAGCTGAGTAACTTGCTTGTTAGGTAACTTGTTAACCACTTCAGTAAAAAAACAAACAAAATGAAACTAGTTAAACAACAAACATTTGGCAGTACATTTCAATACACGACCATTCAAAAGTAGGAAGTCAGTAAGTTTTTTTTATTTTTTTTTTATGGACAAAATTGACAAATAAATGCTGTTCATTTGAATTTTCTATTAATTAAAGAATCCTGAAGAAAAACAAAAATCAACACAACGGTTTTCAACCTTAATAATAATAAAGAAGTTTGAGCACCAAGTCAGCTCATCTCGGTCTGTCTGTCTGTGAAAAATGCAGCCTTGGTGAGCACATGAGACTTTAAACAATCCAAAATGTAAACAGTATTGTATATTTTATTAATATTTATAAAAATATATATTTATATTCATGTATTTTTCACAATCTTAAAATCACGATGAAAGAAATCTTTAGAAGGCTGAAAGTATTTTATATAATGTTTTGTACTGTGTTTTAAGCAAGGTGAGCAGTGAAGCGGTTTTGTTTTAAAATATTAATATTTAAACGCTATTTGTGGTCTGAACTAGCAGGAAACAATTTTGAAAAAACATCAGGACCCCTGCAGACCTTCATGACCGTTTCAAGGTAAAAATATCATTTTACTATCTTATTGTCACGCTACGGTGATATAAACACACGAAGATGAAGATAAATATAAATGCAAATAGTCTTTTAATAAATTCACACAAGGGTTAAATCCAGGACGGACAGGCAGGAGCACACGTAGGGAAACATTCACTATCACATCAATAATGGACGAGGGAAAACAGGAAAGACTACACTTTAAATACTGAGGCAAATGAAGATAATTAATGACACACACCTGAACTAAATAACACAATCAAACATGAGGGAAAACTAGGTCACACAAAGCACATGGGGGAAGAAAACACAACAAAAGTCCAATGGGGTGTGACACTTACGATATCACAAGTTTAGTTCAGGTTGTTACGTTTATGCTCATGATTTGGACTGGTGCAGAGGTGGTGGGAGAGGGAGGCTGGGCGGGAGTTCAGGGTGCTCAGGGGGCTCAGGAACGGTGTGTGCTGCCCACACACACACACACCACAAGGCCACTCCCAACACCGGGAGCGCCAGTGACAGGGGGACGACCTCCGTGGTCATTTCAGGACCCGGAAGGCGCGACCTCGCACTGCAGGAACAACAAAGGGAGGGATGGAGGGAGACTCAGGAGGAGAACAAAGGAGTGGATGTGGGATGGTGACAGGGGATGGCAAAGGGCTGGCAGGAAGGCACGCAGACAATACTGGAGGAGGTTCGGACGGAGGACGGACACCCTGGAGGAGGACGATGGAGGGAGGAGCCAGGGAGAAGACAGGAGGGAGCAGGAGGAGCCAGACGGGACCCAGGCCACTTGGTGGGCTGAGGGTGAACAGAAGGGCTGCCAGGAGACAGCAGTGGCAATGGTGAGGACTGGTGCAGAGGTGGTGGGAGAGGGAGGCTGGGCAGGAGTTCAAGATGCTCAGGAGTTCAGACGAAGGCGGGAGAAGAGGAGGCATGTCTGCATATACATCCCAATCATAGACTACTGAGCTCGGCTCACCCTCAGCCTTGGTGCAGTGGGCAGAGCTTCCCTCCGCGCTCTCGCTGTCCATAGCGATCTCCCCTGTGGTGAGCTCTGTAGCCAGCTCTCGCACCTGGTCTAACGTCACAGGCTCTGGGGCGATCCTCAGCACTGTCGCTCCATTTAGTGATGGCTCATTGGTCGCGGCGGGCTCAGGCTCTCCGTCATCGGTGGGCTCTGGCTTTTGCTCTGTGCAGCGGGGTGATGGTGGGCTGGGCTCTGGGACCTGTCATGTTCTGGATCGACGTAGGACGCTCTCTAAGCCGGCTCTTGCACCTGGACTGACGTCATCAGCAGCTCCGGCTACGCGGCGATCCTCAGCTCTGTCACTCCTTGTGGCTCAGGCTCGTCGGTCGCGGCGGGCTCAGGCTCTCCGTCATCGGTGGGCTCTGGCTTTTGCTCTGTGCAGCGGGGTGATGGTGGGCTGGGCTCTGGGACCTGTCATGTTCTGGATCGAGGTAGGACGCTCTCTAGACACCGAAACATGGCCTCCCTCCAGTTCAGTCCAGTGGTGTCTGGCAGGTCCCCAGGTTGTTGGTAATTTGCCCCGATCCGAACAGGGTCAAATTGTCAAATGAGGACGTGACGGCGAGTAAATCCCAGGGTGAACGTTACCAGGTCGTGGCATTGAGAATTTCGCCGCACATTCCATTCCTTTCTTTTTTCTTAGTCCGGTATTCTGTCACGCTACGGTGATATAAATGCACGAAGAAGATGAAGATAAATGCAAATAGTCTTTTAATAAATCCACACAAGGGTAAATCCAGGATGGACAGGCAGGAGCACATGTAGGGAAACATTC